AATTAAATTAATTTAATAAAAATTCATATGTAAAATTTATTTGATATTTCTTATAAAAGTTATTTTTTTATTTTTTATCATTTTTTAAGTCAAATCAATTCTCTATTTTTTTTATTTTACAAAAAGTTAAAAAATATATATTTATTAAAATCATTTCAAAACACTCTTTTAGCACGGTCACACTTATTCTTTATTTTTATAAAAATAAAAATATATATATCCTTATTTAGATCATTTTAAATACACTATATTGTGTTTAGTTGGAATTTGAAAGAAATTGAAAGGAAGGAGAAAATGTGTACTAGGTGAATTAAGCATATTTATTCCTTTACTCCTTTTCTTTTCCTTTCCAAATCTCTCTCAAATCTCCCAACACACACACCATTAAATGACATACCGTTCTTTTTCATTTTCTTTTTAACTTATTTAAACTATTTTTCATCATAAACTGCAGCAAAATTCTTATACAATTTTTTTTTTTTTTAATTTTAAAGTTAATAATTACAAAAAATGTGTGAAAGAGGGCCGAAGTGTTTGAAGACTTACTTGACATGGAGCTGCAAATGAGGGATATCAGGACCGTAGATAGAGTTTCTTTCCTTGATTTGGAGGTGGCCACAAGTCTCCATCGGGGGACTCTTCAATGGAGATCAGACGGTAGCCCTTGCCAATCTTGGTTGGAATGGTGAGGCTGAATTACTACTCCACCACAAACAATCAATGCAACAAAGAAGATGGGTATGAGAGAACTGCCATGGTAATAAAGAGAGAAGATGACCAGTGGCCATGAGGGAGTGTTAATTGTTTGAACAGTTTTTAGGGTTTTAGAGATATAAAATAAGAGAGAAGGGGGGGGGGGGGGAGGGGGGGGAAATGAGTCATACGGATACATGTGGGGGAGAGGGTGGATTAGGTTGCTACACAGCCACTTCTTCCATGTGATTGATATGATGAAGTTGATTGGGTCCCACACTGATAAGACCTACCTTTGTCAGCCGGGTGGTCCATTTTGATCATTATCTTTGATTGGGGGGTGAGTTTTTGGAATTTTGATTGAGGTGGATAGTTTGTGGGTTTGTCCATTAGATTGAAAACTATTCTTCTAATTCTAGCTATTGTCAATTTGAAAAAGTTAAAAAAAAAAAAAAAAAAAAAAAAAAGTTAATAATACATAATTCAACAATGCTAGGTAGTTTAAAAATTTTGTGGTTCAAATGGCTCAAATCACTTGAAAGATGTCGTTTTGAGTGTAATGAATGTAAAACGACGTCATTTTAACAAGATTTGAGTCATTTGAACCAAAATTTTGAACTACCAAACATTTTCTTACTATTAATGTTACAAAATTATTCATATGAGACATAAAGGGTGGGGGTGTTTGTTTCTTGAAAAATGTTAAATTATATATATAAAAATATATATAGAATTTATTTTTAAAACGATATGATAATAACATGATATATGTTCTATTTTTAAATAAAGGGATCACAATCCATCATTTTATACATATTTTTAGAAGAAAAAAAATTACAAAAAGAAAAATCAAAATTTAAACCTTATGATAAAATAAATACTAAATTTTTAATATTATTAATTTTAATTTTTTACTTTTTCATTTTATGCCAAATTTAATACAATTTTTAATAATAATATAATTTGATAAGAATAATGACAAATTTTAACTTGGAGATGGTTTTGGGAGATGCTCCAAATTTTGAATTAAAACTATGATAATTTAAACAAATATTACCTCATTTTGAGAGCCACGACAACTCTAGTATCAGAGCCACGACCGCTTTGCCAAATTTTATCAAAACAAAAAATGAAATTAAGGCCACCTTAGGCAACTAGTTAGTTTAGTTAAAAGGTTAAAAAATTATTAAAAAAATTAAAAAGTCAATAATTTATATCAAAAATTAAGGATTTTTTTTTTCTATTTTTTGTACATCTTTTCATAAAAATTAAAAAATCATTCCAAACATATTAATTTTTTTTAATTTATATTTTAACTAAATAATTAAAAAATTACTAAATTAACCTGTTCTCAAACTACGAATAAGGATACCACTTCTTGCATGTGCTTGACGTGATGATGTGTCTTCCCAAATTAATGCTCTAATTCCATTAAATTCGCGTATCCATTACTTCTTGCTTGGTACTTTGGGTTATCCAAGGTGTGCCATGATGTTGTCATTTTTATTTGAGATCGACTTATATCCATTATGTATAATTTAACTCATTACTTTCTTATACATCCCTGAGGTCCAAGTTAAGGTCCTAAACATGTGGCAAATATCTAGATGATCTGATCAGTGATTTGGTTGGTAAGATACTCCTATCCTTGAGTTGGTTGAGTATTGTGAATGTTAGAATTTTCTGAGTATAACGGCTTAACTTCATATTCGTGGATTATAACTGTGTTACTCACTATTTCGCCTTATCGATCTTAGATATGGTTGTCATTTTTTTTAATTACCCTGTCATAATACGATGTTTTTATATTCAATTGACATTTGGATCTTACTTGAGCATGTTTCTCCTTATCTTTATCATCCTATTGTGATATGACTTTTTATCATTATTAGTGGCATATTGATTCCATCAAGCAGCCACTATTATTGGCGTCAGAATAGAGTCATTTCAGTAGAAAGGTTGGATGGATGTGAGAGAGGGTGATGGAGAAAGAGGGAGGGGGCAGTTAGGGTTTGAAAAAAAAAAAAAAAAAAAAGAAAAGAAAGAAGAGACAAATTTATCTTTCTATTAGAGAATTTGAGTTTGATTATATATATATATATATATTTATGATCGATAAGAGAGGGAGAGAAATTACACCCATAAGAATAAGATTCGGACTTAGGAATCAAGCGTACTTAACCAACACATTGGGCTTTAAGATTTAATGATATATTCATGAATTAAAGTTTATACTTTGAGATCTTTATTTTAATCCATAGACCTTCCTCTTGTATTATTATGAGAAAATTATAAATTAATAAAAAAAAATTAAAAAAAATTGATAAGTGATAGCTTTTACTAATTGTACGGGGAGCAAATATTCCGGCGTGCCCGTATTCCTTTCTTCCGAGTTCCGTCGATATCTGATCACCTGCGAGCAAATAACGGTGAGCTACCCGGCGGTGTGTGGCCGGAAACACCCTCCGACGGTCAAATTAGCACACACCTTAGAGGGAATAGAGAGAAGGGAGAGAGTGTTTGAGTGTAAAAAATTCCTTACAGAGTGTTCGTATGTCTCGCATGGGGGGCGCAGACAGGCTTATATACCTTCTGCGCCCCATACCCACTCCCTGTCATCTCCTGACACGTGGCTCTGCTATCCCATCTGTCAGCTTAAACCATGCCGTTCATCACCTGCTCTCAACTGCCTGCCAGCATAGCTGGAGCCCGGCAGCCGAGCTGCCCTACCTCGGTCATACCATGCTTCATACCTTAAGCGCCCGACCGGATAACCGAATGAAGGACTGGGCTAGGCGGCATCTCGGCAAAGCTTAACCCGGGATCCTCCTTTGGTCGGTCTTCTCGCCGGTCAGTCAACTACCTCGGCTGACCGCGCCTTTCACTTGGCAGAATTACACACACATTTTGTTGTGATAAACATGTGCCAATTGTCAAGAAAACCTAATGTGAATAATAAATCCATTAAAAGATAGATTTGTTATTTGACATAACTTATTGTCAATGTTTGATCATTACAACAAGAATACCACTTACAGTTAATATCACTATCCAAAGGCTTGGTATTAATGTTGTGCTAGGTATCTTGAGATGTTGTCATTAAATTACTCCCTCCGTCCCAAAATAATGGTCCCTTTTGGGGAATCCAACTTTTTTTGGTAGTACAATTATTGTACTTTTAAAAAGTTGGTTTTCCAAAATTACCCTTTGATAGTACACTTTTTTGAGAATATCAATGTCATAATTGTACTTTTTATATTATTTATGAATTTAAAAGAAGGGCAAAATGGGAAATTTATATTATTTTTGTACTTGATTTTTGAAGAGGGACTAATATTTTGGGACAATGAAAAATGGAATAAGGGACTAATATTATGGGACGGATGGAGTAATTTATATCAAAAAATTAAAAAAAAAAATTTCTCTCTATTTTTTGTACATCTTTTCCTAAAAAATCAAAAAAACATTTCAAACATATTAATTTTTTTTAATTTATATTTTAACCAAATAGTCAAAAAATTAATAAATTAACCTGTTCCCAACCGACGCCTAAGGATACCACTTCTTGCATGTGCTTGACGTGATGATGTGTCTTCCCAAATTAATGCTCTAATTCCATTAAATTCGCGTATCCATTACTTCTTGCTTGGTACTTTGGGTTATCCAAGGTGTGCCATGATGTTGTCATTTTTATTTTATTTGAGATCGACTTATATCCATTATGTATAATTTAACTCATTACTTTCTTATACATCCCTGAGGTCCAAGTTAAGGTCCTAAACATGTGGCAAATATCTAGATGATCTGATCAGTGATTTGGTTGGTAAGATACTCCTATCCTTGAGTTGGTTGAGTATTGTGAATGTTAGAATTTTCTGAGTATAACGGCTTAACTTCATATTCGTGGATTATAACTGTGTTACTCACTATTTCGCCTTATCGATCTTAGATATGATTGTCATTTTTTTTAATTACCCTGTCATAGTACGATGTTTTTATATTCAATTGTCATTTGGATCTTACTTGAGCATGTTTCTCCTTATCTTTATCATCCTATTGTGATATGACTTTTTATCATTATTAGTGGCATATTGATTCCATCAAGCAGCCACTATTATCCTAACCGGACAAACACATGGAGGACCGGGCTAGGCGGCATCCCGGCAAAGCCTAGCCCGGGTACCTCCTTTGGTCGGCCTTCCTGCCGGTCAATCAACTACCTCGACTGACCACGTCTTTCCGGGCACCGATCACTCGGTCTGTCTGGCTTGGACCATCCTCGGACCGAGCGTCCTGGTCCGACCGGTCACTTCCTGGCCGAGCAGTTTCTGTTCGATCCGGGGTGGCACACACTCAGTCCAAACTCTGCCCGGTCCAAATCTGTCCGGCACAACTCTGCCCGGCCCAAATCTGTCCGGCACAACTCTGTCCGGCCCAAATCTGTCCGGCAAAACTCTGTCCGGCCCAAATCTGTTCGGCACAACTCTGCCCGGCCCAAATCTATCCGGCACAACTCTGTCCAGCCCAAATCTGTCTGGCACAAAGTCCATATCATTAATCTCCCTCTCACTAATATTAATAGTTAAAGTCATAATTTTTTTTATATATATATTTATAAATATCTTACGAAAATCCCATTGAATTGTAATTTTTCCTATTATTATTACATGGGTTCTAGTTTCATGATCCAACACTGCGTGCATCACCATTTACATGTGTACCTTCATAGTTTAGAACATTTTAATATTTTTCGTGGCAGCAACATGATTACATGGGGGATTAGAGGAGATTGACACCGTGATTATAGGACAAAGAATAAAACAAAAAATACTTTTGACTATATATAATTAATATAATTCTCACCTGATAGTACCAATGAGTCAGCCAGTTTTGCATATAAATCCAATTTTTTTATTTCATCTGTCAGATTAATTATTTCTTTAAAACAATGATAATACTAATTAATATTAATTTTATTATGATTTTATATCAAATATTATAATTTTAAGGTCTCGTTTGTTTTCAGAGATAGAATAGAAGGGATTGTTAATGAGAGGATCGATAATGAGGAAATTAAGGCCAAGTTTCGGAAGTCTCAAAAAAGTCAAAAAGTTACTCAAAAAGTTAAATAGTT